GTAACCCCTCGCAAATAACCACGGGAAGGCCTCGCCATCGCCGAGCCCGGACCAGATGCCCCCGAGGCAGGAAGGAGCAAGGCGGTGGTCTGATTGGGCGTGGTCCGACCCGACCAAGGGACTACCGATTACCGAACAGCCGAACCTCTCTCCTCTCGCTCGTCATCACCCAAGTCTTGCCTAGGTTGTGTTGTGTCAAAGCCATGACGGTGTTGCCCCTAGTCCGGCCTGCCCCGTACAGGACGGTCGAACTCTAGCACAAACGAGCAGGACTGCAATGAGCACAAACATACATATTCCGCTCCGCACACTATTCGTTCACTTCCTAGCAAGATTGCTGATCGTGCGAGGTTATTTCCGCTGATTTTCGTTCTCGTATTTATTGCCTGTCTCCTTCGACATATGAGCTTTAACAGTTATCTCCTGCAACCGCTCTTCGCGAAGCATATGGCCGTTCAGGAAGGAACATCGTGGATTCGATTTTGAGAACGGCGAAAAAAAAAAGGTTCTGCGCAGCTTAAACTATTTTCGTCCGCATGACAACTGATAGTCACCCCTGCGACTTCTTGCAACTCACTGCGACCTTCTGCGACTAAGCATACGGCTTACTGTTGGAACTTTCGCTACGATAAATAACGGCAGCGATGGCAGCGGTATCTTGTCAGGCTCTATGAGAAACTCTCGATAGAAGCATTTCCCGTTGAATTTTCTATGTTTTTTTTTAGAACCGTCTGAGGTGCGGCGCGACTATCGCACGCGACAATGTACCCTGGTCAGTACACGCAGAGGCATTTCGAAGCAGCGGCAGCAGCGTCGACAGCGGACGCGCCAGGCGTCACTCTGGCAGGCGAGACAGATATAACGGAGGCGAGTAGGCGAGGAAACGAGAGCCTGGGAAGGACGGACGGTGGGAAGGCCGAGCGAGGCGGTTGCGAGAGCAGCGAGAGCTGGAGCCTTGGGGGGCGAAAGGCGGGTGAAATAGACGAGGAAGTGGAGGTGGATGGAACAGCAAAGGCGGCCGACGGATTGGAAGAGCGGGAGGAAGACAGACGGGCAGAGGAAGAGGAGGAGGAAGAGGGGGAGGAAGGGGAGGAGGGGGAAATGGGCGAGGACGACGGGGGTGATCTGGTGTGCGACGGCGGGGGGGAAGGCGAGATGGAGGGCGCAGCGGGAGGCGTGCAGGCGCAGTGCAGGTCGTTTGAATCCATGTCTTCCGCAGGCAGTCGCAGCCTGTGCCTGGGGCCGGGGGGAGCGGGCGAGCCGGGGTCGCTGACGGAGTCGGAAGGGGGGAGCTTCGCGGATGCGCGCTGGCACGTGGCGGCGCCAGGCGTGGGCGCGGGGGGAATGGGTGTTGGCGGAATGGGGATGGGTGTGGGGAGCGGTTTGGGTGCGGGAATGGGTGCAGGGATGTGGATGGGGGAAGCGTCAGGCATGGGGGCAGCAGGATATGCGAGCACAGGGTATGGTTATTTGCATGGGCAAGGGCAGGGTTTGGGGTATGGATATGCGTATGGGCATGGGTATGGTTATGGCTACGGGTATGGGCATGGTTATCATGGGCATGGGCATGGTCAGGGGAAGGGAAATGGGCGTGTGCAAGACGAGTGGCATGGGTGCGATCAGGAAAATGCGCGAGGGGGGATGGAGGAGGGTATGGGAGGGCGTGGAGAGAATGGTAACGTGGGAGGAGGGGCGGGACGGGGAGAGGAGCGAGGAGGAGGGGAGAGACGAGGAGAGGAGCGAGGAGGAGGGGAGGGAGGAGGAGAGGAGCGAGGAGGAAGGGGGGAAGGAGGAGAGCAAGTAGTAGAAGCTGAGTATCCTGGTGCTGTCGGTTCTGTCAGTAGTGAAGCAGCTGGAGCAGAAGCAGATGAGGGGGAGGAGCATGCCGCACTGGAAAGGGGTTTGGCAGGAGGGATGGTTGGGAGTGGTGAGAGTCGTGAGGCTGTGCTGCCCTCTGCTGCAATAAATGCGGCTGTGTTGCAACGCGCGGGTCAGAAACAGCAGGAGGTGGCGCAGCAACAAGAGCCACAGCAACTAGAGCAGCAGAAGAAGCAACAAACGCAGCAGCAACAACAAGAGCAGGGGCGTCAACAGCAGAAGCAGAAGAAACAGCAGCAGCATCAGGGGGAGGAGGAAAGCGTTTCGCAACAAAGGGATAAAGGGGATGGAACCAAGCAGGAGAGCGGGAATGGGGTGAGCACTGCATGTGCAGGCGAGGCACCCACTGCGAAAGACAGCTCCAAAAAGCAACCACAAGGAAAGGTGGAGCCACGGGTCACAAGCCAGCTAGCTAGGCAGTTCTTAACGGAATTGGCAAAGGATAAGGCGAGTGGGAGAGATGGTGAGGAGGGGAGGAAAGCGAAGGGGGTAGGGGAGAGGGTTGATGAGAGGAAATTGTCAGAAGGGAAAGGGGAGGAGAAAGGGAAAGGGGGGCCTGTTCCTGCTAGACGGATCCGTAGCTGTGATGAGTCGTATTATAGGGTGGGGAAAGGTGGGGAGGGTGATGTAAGGGGAAGGGGAGAGAGCAAGGAAAGAGGAGGAACGGGGACGCGAGGAGGAAGTACAGAGAGAGCGAGGGAAGAGGGGAGGGAGCGTAAGGAGAGAAAGGGGGATGAATTTGAGAGGAGGGGAGCAGATGGGCGGAATGGTGGGGTGAGGGATGAGCGAAGGGATGGCAAGGAGAGGAGAGGAGGCGAGGGGGAAAGAGGGCTAAGGAGCAAAAATCCTGGTTTCGAGAGAAGGGAAGGGAAGGAGAGGAACGAGGAGGGGGAGGAGGGGGGAGGGAAGGGGAGGAGAGAGAGGAGGTACAGCAGTGCAGGGAAGGTGATGCAAAGGGTGAGAGGGAGCAGAGGAAGCAGGGACTGGAGGGAGGGGGGGGAGGGGGAGACGACGCGAAGGAGGGGGCACCATGCGCGGCATGCAAGTGCCAACAACGCTACCTCTGGTGCTGCTGCCCATGTGCCCACTGGCCTGTGGGTTAGCTCCACTGGGGTCCCCACTCCCGCTGTCTTTGCTGCGTCGGTTCCACTGTTCATGGCTGCGACTCCTGCATGCCCTGCTGTGCCCATGCCAACAGCACCTAGTGTGGCCGCAGCAGCAGCAGCAGCAGCAGCAGCAGCAGCCACAGCAGCAGCAGCAGCTGCAGGAGAGGCAGCAGCAGCAGCAGGGGGGAGAGGTCTGCTTCTACCTGCTCCTCCTGTTCCTGCGTCTTCCGATGCTTATCCTCCCTGTCCTCCGCAATTCTCTCAAAATCCCCCCTTCTCCCAGCCACCCAGCTCTCAGCCCCCCTCCCTCCCTGCACGTTCCTCGCAGCTCTCTTCCCTGCCACCCCCTTCCCTTGCCCTCCACCCCTCCTCCCGCTTCCCACGCTCCTCCTCCTCCTCATCCCCACCCCCTCCTCGGTCGTTCGCAGCATTCCCGCGCTCCTCCTCCTCATCCTCCCCTCCTCCTTCCTCCCTCCTCCCCCCTCTTCGTCCTCCTAGCGCCCACAAGTTCTCACCTCGTAACAGCCCAAAGAATAGGGTGCATGCCAGGAACTATTCAACCGACAACTCCAGGCCGGAATGCAATTCACCCACTGCTGCAGCACATGCTCTCGTTCCGTTAAATCCCAGCCTGCCTTTTGCTCAAGCAGCTATGCAAGGCCCGCAAGGCCAGTCACGTGTGGATGTGCCATCGGGCAGTGCATTTCATATCACCACCACAACCATCACAAGCACCAGCACCATCACCATCACCTCTCCTACTTCCCCCCCACTCCGCTTCCTCCCTCATTCCCCCCCACTGACTCTCTCCCTTCCTTCGAACGCACGGGTCCCGACCATTACCCTGTTCTCCCCATCCTTCCTCCCACCTCCCCTCCTCTCCCCGCCCACCCCCTACCGTACCACCACCAAACGTTCCCCACCGCGTCACCTTCTCACCCATCTGCTCCCTCTCTTTTCCCCCCACCATCTGAACCCCCGTGTGGGTTTGATCCTCTCTTGCCCGTGCCATATGAGGCACAACAAGTGCGTGGTTCTGCAGAGGGGGGAGGCGACATGCCAGCAGCAAGGGCGCATGGGGGAAACCTGGGACCTGTGTTTATTCATCAGCACGAGTGGGAAGGGGGCAGGGGGCGCGAGGGCGATAGGGCAGGGGGAGGTGCAAGGCAGGAGTATGTGGGTTCGGATGTGGGGGATGGAGAAGAAGGAGCAGGAGGAGAAGCTGAAGGTTTGTCATTCAAGGGGGGTGTGGCTGAGGCGAGCAGGAGGGGAGAAGGCTGGAGAGATGTGGAAGGAGGGGGGAGGCTGGTGGTGTTTGGAAGAGATGTTCCTTGCAGGCAGCTCGTCCTGGGGTTGGGAACAAGAGGAAACCGTGTGGGGGGTGCGATGGGAACAGATACGGCTGAACCAGCAAGCACAGGCGTGCAGCAGCAGTTGGGAATGAGTGTCATGGCATCAGGGGCAGCGGGAGCAGTGGCAGGAGTGGGAGCAGGAGTGGCAGGGGGAGCAGGGGGGGCAGAGTGGGCAGGTGGTGCAGGGGGCCCCAGTGACGCGTCGCTCTCCTCGCCTTCCTCTGTCTCCTCCTCTTCCTCCGCTTCGTCCCTCTCAGCAGTAAGAGCCCGTGCAGGGGGACGAACGAACCCAGTAAGAGCCCGTGCAGCAGTCCCTGCAGTTCCATCGGCAGCACCTGCAGCAGCGGTAGTAGCAGTGGAGCATGATGCTGAGCATGATACGGCACATGATTCAGAGCATGGGAAGGAGCTGTTACCAGGCCCATCTTTCTCTTCAATACCCTCCTCTCCATCCTCCTGTTCCGCCTCCTCCTCCTCCTCCTCCTCGTCGTCCTCCTCATTCTCGTCCTCCCCTCCAGCTCACAAAACAACAGCCGCATCAACAGCAGCAGTTGCTGAAACTTCCGCTGCTGCCGCAGCTGCTGCTGCAGCCGCAGCAGTGGAGGGTTCTTTGAGGGAAAGAGCAGGAGCAGCAATGGACCCTGTAGAGCTCCTCAAAAGCGAGATGCTTAAGGGAGATCCAGTGGGGATCCTCGCTGCTGCAGAGGTCATCCGGCACTTAGCTAAGCGCAGCGCGCGGTGGCGCGAGCACATCACAGTGGCGGGAGGAATCCCGCCTCTGCTCGCTTTACTAAAAGCTGCCCAGCACCCGGTTTTAGTGGAAAGTGCAGCAGCTGCGGTGCGGAATTTGGCAATTGAGGAGGTGAGCCGGAAGCTTCTGCAAGCGGCAGGGGCAGTGGGGCCGGTTATAGCTGCTCTAGTGGAGGCAGGAGGAGGGGAGATTAAGGAGGATACAGGCAGTGAGGGGAGTGAGAGAGAGAGTGGGAGTTTGGGTTCGAGAGGGGAGCACAAGAGGAAGAGCCTCTCTCATGGGGAGGGTTATTTTGCAGGTGTTTCTGCAGGCACGGGTGCACTCGCAGGTGCAGTTTCAGGTGGTGGTGGTGTCGGGAGCAGCAGTGGTGAACCTGGCATCACGAGAGATTCGAAGCACCAGAATCAGAGCGTTGTTGAACATCTCTCCTCTGCTGACCCTGCTATTGCTTGTGCTGCTGCTGCTGCTGCTGCTGCTGGTGGTGGTGGTGCTGCCGCTGGTGAAGATGGAGTTATGGCCCATGCCACAACACACAGTGGCACCGGGGCTAGATTCCCTGCTCCTGCTCCTGCTCCCCTCGGTGTGAGTTCCCCTGGAAGCACCAGTCATCGGCGCGTGGCTAGCGCGATACAAGGCTCCCTTGGAGTCCTCGCCAGCGGCAGCGGCAGCAGCAGCAGCTACGGCAGCGGCAACGAGACGTCGTTTGCCATACAGGAGCATGCAGCTGCCATTCTCTTCAGCCTGGCCAAGAGCGACGACATGAAGAAGGAGATCGGGCGCCTAGGAGCCATTCCGCCTCTCGTCCGCCTCTTCTCCTCCTCCTGCCCCACGCTCCCCCTCAACTCCCCTTCCTTTTCCTTCCACGTTGCCCCGACCCCTCCTCACCCTCTTCCACCGCACAGCATCTCTCTCCGCGTGCTCTATTACCTCTCAGTCTACCGGCCAAACAAAGCGCTGATTGTGGCAGCGGGTGCAGTGCCGTGCCTGCTGTCTGTGGTCCGGGAGCAAGACTCCAAATCCATGCTTGCGGATGATTGCGTGTTGCTGCTCACATCACTGGCCGCAGTGCGAGAAGGGCAAGAGGCGATTGTGGAGAGCGGCGGGATCGCAGTGCTGGGGAGGGTGCTGGAGGATGGGACGATGCTGGGGAGGGAGAACGCCGGTGCGGCGCTGCTGCTGCTGGCACGGGCGGAAGGGGAGTGGCTCAAGGGTATAGTGGCGGAAGCGGTGCTGCCGTCTCTTCTGGAGATTGTGAATGGGGTGGGGCAGAGCAACCGAGCGCGGGCTAAGGTGAGTGTTTGCGCGGGGTGAGGTGTGTGTGTGCGTGTGCATTAGAGTCAGAGTTGGAGTGGGTAAGATGAGTGGAAAAGGGGAAAGGGAGGCGATTTGTGTGTTCTTTAATGCCGCTACCTGATGTTGGCAGTGATTGCCCTGTGTCACGCCCATTTTACTGTGTCCCTCAAACCCTATTCTCAGGCCCAGGAGCTGCTGCATCTCTTGAGAGAAGCACAGCGGCGGCCGGTCACAGCCTTGGATAAGGTAAAGCAGGAGCTGAAGAGAAATCCTCATTACACGGGGCAAACAGGCTAGAATGCATGAAGTGCTGGCTCAATTTCCCGTTGTACAATGAGTAGCAACACTAGTGTAAATTTATTGCCATATCATGGGTACCAGTCATATTGATTATCATGTGTTGTGTTTCGCCTTCTAGAATGAATGTTCTGGTTCACAACACATGTTTGTGGTGGTAATGTTATGAAGCCTCCTAAAAGCGAGACACACCAACCAGATCCAGCTGTCGTTACGTGCACGGAAGGACACGCTACCGGACAGGGCATAGCCACACAGCTGTTCCGGCTGCCGTGCCGAGGTTACCCAAAACATTTTGCCTATCTATTGTCACAGAAATTTAGTGAGGCGGCAATGATACATATGACGGAAGAGAAGGGAAAACTTTACACGGGCAAAGGGATCCACATCGCAAAATGAGCAACCATGTTGGGTTGGAACCAGTGACTACGAGACGAGAGACTGATGAAATCAACCTACAGTACAAGAGGACTACCGTACCGATCACACTTGTTTTGCACCACAGTACTGTACTCTACGACAACACAACACACACAGATCGAACGAGGCGAGCGGACAACACCCACAGTCTTCCGCCATTGGGCCGTACACTGATGCTGTGCAGGTGGTTGTTGAACGTACCGTAACGGGTTTCTTCTCCTTTTCAAATGAAGCCGGTACAGTACAGTTCCAGGAAGGAGCACTGCAGCCAGCCAGCTGTCGGACTGTGTCTCGGAGTGAGTGAAATGAACTCACTCAAGAACACCATCGAATCGAACCCACAGCTGTGTGGTTTCATTTCATTTCTTCGGTTTTGATTCGACCCAACCGCCCGGCCCTCCTGCGCAGAGGCCTTCTGGCCCTCGCTCCCACCCACCCAAAGCCACCTCCCTCCCCCCACCAACCCACTGCCCCGCTTCGCTTCTCCCCGTCCGCCCCTTTCCCCGCCTCTTCCCCGGTCGCAACTGCATTCCCCCCTGTCGACCCTGTCCCCCTCGTTCCCGCCGCTCCCTCCCGCAAACCTGTGTTTCCGCCTCTCCCCAGGTCTTCCCCTTCCTGGAGATCAGAGAATGCTGCTGCCGCTGCTGCGCGGATCAAATGCTGTTCGTCCCTCACCCCCTCACAGTCCTCCCTCTCCTCTTCCTCCCCTATCCCTCTCGTCTCGTGTCTCCCAACCCGACCAACCACACCCAGCCGCCATTTCCCACTCTCCCAGCCGACCAGCTTATCCGTCGCGAATCTATCAGCTTCTCCCTGCGTTCGTTCCCGTCCGTTCAAAATGCACGTGAGTGAATCGTTTCCGCCGAGCTGCTGTACATAGCAGGCAGCCTCTCGTAAAGCTCTCGGCTTGAGACCGCCGTGTGAAGCGCCGACCACCGTCGTCCATTTTCCACTAGAAGACTTGTTCTCTCAACAAGCTACGTTTCGTGTAATATAATGTTTCTTTCTAATACCAGATGCAGAACCTTACTTCCTTACATTGCGGCCTCCCCGTCCCAAGCCCAGCTCAGTCGAGCAGATTGATAAGCATACCTTATAGAAAGTGCGGGTTCTTCTTAGCCGCCGCCTTATAATCACCTGTTAGTTAGGCATTCGTCAGTGGAGAGCGGTAACCCCGGCTCGTCTTCGTTTTTCAAGAGGACACTGCTGGAAATGGAAACCATGCACCTTCCATGGCCAGCAACACCGCGCCATAGATTTCGGCGGACATTGCGGAGAAAAAATCCCCTGTGCTCTCACTCAACGTCGGTGCAATGTTCGAGCCATACCTTGTATTCGCTTTCGCGACCTCCTTGCCTCTCATATCAAGCTAGCTGCTAACCACTTAAAAACGACTTCTCTGTTCCAGGACTTTGGGGGTACTAGAACTGCCGTAGTATGCGCCTCTCACTTTGTCATTAAAGCTCGTCACCGCCACCGTCATCGTAACCCTCGTCTCATTGCCACGTCGCCATCACCGTCGTCGCCATCGCCATCGCCATCGCGTTCCCGGTCGCCATCGCTGACGCCATTGCCATCGCCATCGTCAACGTCAACGTCAACGTCAACGTCTCGCTCCTGTTTCCTGCGAACTTCTCGCTTCGGCTGAACAGCTGCCACCACAACCACGCGACGCTCCCCATCCGCCTCTCGTTCTATCTCTCCCTCTCTCCCCTCGTCGCTTCATTTGCCTTCTGTATACCCTCCAAGACCTGTTTGTATGACACGCGCGTCACTGTCCTAACCGCGCGTAAGTCCTCCAATCATGTATAAGAACATCAACCAGCTCCTTACCCCCAAAAGCCAGCGCCGCGCGCGGGGTTCCGGCGTCGAGGCGGATGGCGCGGAATCCCCGGGCGCGGGGGGAGCTGACGACGCGGACGGGGAGACTGGTGGTGGCGGAAGCGGCATTCCCCCGCTTGGCAGCGACCAGAAGCAACGGCACCGGAGCGCGCTCACCTCCCCCGGTTCTTCCGGGTCCCACAGTAACAGCAGCGGCGGCGGCGGCGGAAGCAACAAGCACAGCAGCAGCAGCAGCAGTAGGCGCATCGGGACTCCGCTCGCCGCGCCCTCCAGCCCGGGTTGGCGCATGCCCGGGGGCGCTCTGATGAGCCCCGGGCGCGGGGGAGCCAAGGGGAAGGGCGCCAGCGGAGGGGGAGCGGGAGGGGGAGGGGGAGACTCCGGAAAATGGTCGTTCGGGCTTCAGGACTCGTCCCCGCTCCGATTAGGCTCGCCGTCCCTGATAAGCCTAGGCGACGGGCAGCTGAAAAAAATGGTCAAGCGGATGTTTCCGCCGCATCCGGGGGGGGGATTCAAGGGGTTCTGGGGAGTGGGCGGCGGGGGAGGTGGGAGCGTGGGGAGCGGAGGCGGGGCTGGGGGGGGAGGAGGCGGGGGGAGTGTGAAGACGGAGGTGCTGGCGTTCGAGATAGGCAGTGTGATGAGACGGTCGCTGGAGATTTATGACTGCATGGGAGAGAAGACACTTGCTTCCCTGCGATCCAACCTCCAGGTGAACCACCACCGGGATGGGTGATTTTTAGACGTCTCAACACAAGTAAACGACGGGAACGGATAGTTGGCGGCTGAATGCGTTTCGTTTGGTGCCTCTTGTTGTTCGCTCGCTCTCCTCTCCTCATTCTTGTGTTCCGCCTTTCGTCACGATCCTGATCTAGTTGCCCCCTAATCGTGTGAGCCATCATCCATGGAAGCTGCTCACCTGTGTGCTTCTCTCCGCTCCATTCCTCCTCCCCCCCCTCCCTCCCCTCCGGGTGTCTGTGCGGTGCTGTGCGGTGCGGCAGGCACCTGGAGTGGTCACCCTCATCTCCAGTGATCTCAGACTGCTCTGGAACCTCGCAGGTACGCCATGCCGTTCTTCGCCATGCCATGCCATGCCATCTCCTCGTCCCCGTCCTCTCTTTCATCCCCATCCCTTGGCCGTTTCTCCCCTCGCTGCCGCCATACCGTCCTCCGCACTCCCTTCTCTCCACCTCCTTCCCCCACCTCTCTCTTCACCACCACGCAACCCACCACGCCAGCCATTGCAGAATACTCCGCGCTACATATGAAACCATTTTCCTGCCCTCAGTACTTTCCAGCCTTCCTTCCCCTTTTTCTCCCCTCGCCCTCAAATCCCCCTCCCCCCTCACCCCACCTCCATCTCCTCTTTCCCGCCTCACCTATCCCCTGCTGCTCCTCCCACCCAAGGATGAAAAATACGGTTTTCGTAAAAAACGGTCCGTTCTTTACGGTCCGTTTTTTACGGTAATTTTCCAAAAAAACGGCGTTTTTTTGTTAGAAAACTGTCGTCACCAAGAAAAAAAGGGAAAAACAAGGTCAAATACATTTTCAATCATGCCCACAAGCGCACTCATGCAAGGAGGTGTTTGTCCTCTTCATGCTGGTGATTTTCGCCATCAATTTTGTCCCATAAATGGCTGATTTTTTCTTCGAACGAAACCACCTTCTGGAACCGTTTTTTACCGTTTTTTACGGCCGTTTTTTACGGCCGTTTTTTACGGTAAATTTTCAAAAAAAACGGCGTTTTTTTTAACCTTGCTCCCACCTCCCCCAACCCGCCCCACCTCCCCCCTCCCCACAGGGGTGGAGAAGCTGTTGGAGCTGCAGCGGGTGGCGGCGCGCGTGGCAGTGCTGGGGCGCCTCATTCCGCCCCTCAGCCTTCCCCACTCCCTCCCCACCCACTCTCCCCCTCACGCCCGCACCTCCCCCTCCCCTCCCCTGTGCGCGCAGGGGTGGAAAAGCTGTTGGAGCTGCAGCGGGTGGCGGCGCGAGTGGCAGTGCTGGGGCGCAAGTGCCGCAGTGCGCGCCTGCACACGCTCGGAGACCTCTTTCCGCTGCTGCTCTCCCCGGATTCCGACCTCTCGCACTTCGCCGTCTCCCCCGCTGAAGCTGACGCACTCATCAAGTACGCATGCTTGCTCTTTTGAGTCGACTCAAACGTTTTCTTGCTGTTCCTCTCTCCTGACTCCGACCTCTCGCACTTTGCTGTCTCCCCGGCCGAAGCCGACGCACTCATCAAGTACGCATGCGGCATGCTTGCCCTTTTGAACCGACTCGAGAAGACTGCGAAATGAGTCCTCCTGCTGTTGCTCTGCCCTGATTCCGACCCGTCCGTTTTTGCTCTCCTGTGTCTCCAGCTGGCGCCGGCGCCCTAATCAAGTAGGTTTGTGTGTGTGTGCTTGCGGGGATAGGTCTCGAGCTAATTACTAAAGAGCCGTTGTGCAATGCAATGCAATGCGATGTGATGCGATGTGATGCTTGGCAGGTTTATGAGGGAGCAAGCAGAGGCGACAGAGCGACTCAAGTCAGAGATGGAGGCCATTCAACAGCTGCACCACCGGTGACCATGCACGCACACACGCACACATAAGCACATGCACGCACACATAAGCACATGCATCCCCCGCTCTCCTCCCTCCCTCCGCCCCTCGTCTCTCTGCCTCCCACTCCTCTCCTTCCTTCATCCGAACCCCCATTCCCCTCTTTCCAATCCTCTCCCAGCTCCCCCTCTTCACCGTTTTCTCATCCCTCCCTCTCCCCTGACCTGCCTTTCAACGTTCCCATCTGACCTGCCGCGCAGTAATCTTCTCCCTAACCAACCATCTGATTGCGTCCCCCCTTGCTGTGCTTCCTGTGGCAGCATTCAGGAGTATGGAGAGTGGAACAAGCTGCAAGACATGGTCGCTCAGGTACGCCCTGCTGGTGCGGCAGGTGTGCTGGCATGGAAACCCAGGTTCGGCATGGTGGTGCGGCGCGGCAGGTATGGCATGGTATCCCAGGCTCGGCCTGTGCGCTGCCCACGCTATGTGCATCCATTCAGGTTGTGCCACGTGGCTCAGGTGACACACGCCCTCCTGCCCCCAGTTCTGCACCCGAGACCACAACCACTGCCCTTGTGCTCTTTCCCCACTCTCCTCCTCCCCTTAAACCCGCCTCTCCTTGGTCTGTCGTGTACCGTACTGCGCCTGCCTGCCTGCCTTGATTGCATGCCTTTCAACTGACATGCTTCCCCACCTTCCCTCACTCACCACCACCACCACGGCAACCTGCATTTTCCCCCGCCCACCTGCCGTACCGTCCCGTGTCTGCCATCCCCCCTCCCCCCTCTCCTCCCCCCCCCCCCCACCTTGTGTGTGTGGGTGCGTGCATGTGAGCAGGGCAAGTCAGTGGAGAAGCTACAGTCGCACTGCCTCTGGTCCTTCGACCTTGATTACCTGCTGCAGGTGCGTACCACCTCGCATCTCACACCTCGCACCCACCTCTGCATTCACCGCTCCAATCCTCTCTCCTGCACCTCACCTCACCTTACCTTACCTCCCCCATTACTCTGCCTTCTCCCTTGACTTTCCATCTTCCATGCCTTCCCTCTCCCTTTCCATGCCCCCGTCCGCACCCCCAGCTGCTAGTGGCAGCGCTCTGCATGATCCGCCGTCGCATCTTCACGTCCTTCGGCCCGCCGCCCTCCTCCGCGTCCCCCTCGGCGCCGTCGCTGGCAGTGGGGTCGCTGGGCGCGTGGGGACTAGCGCTGCACTATGCCAACGTGGTGGTGCTGCTGGAGAGGATCATCCAGCAGCCAGATGCGGTTATGGGTCCCACCAGGTGCGATAGTGCTGAGACAAACTGGGGAAGGGATGTATGGCATGGCATGGCGGTGTAATGCTGCTGGCTAGCGCTGCACTATGCCAATGTGGTGGTGCTGCTGGAACGAATCATCCAGCAGCCAGATGCCGTCATGGGTCCCACCAGGTAAGGTGGCATGGCATGGCATGGCAGGGAGGGCGTTGTCTGTAAGCTGGCATCACGTGCCTCTCTGTGTGTGCTGGTTTGGTGGCTGGTAGTAGGTTCACTGACACGGCAGCTGGTAGCATGGGAGCCTCGCACTGCACTATCCCAACGGGGTGGTCCTGCTGCTGGAGCGGATTATCCAGCAGCCAGACGCCGTCGTGGGTCCCACCAGGTGCGACAGTGCTGACACATACTGGGTTAGGTGGCATGGCATGGCGGTGTAGCAGTATTGGCTAGCGCTGCACTATGCCAACGGGGTGGTGCTGCTGCGGATTATCCAGCAGCCAGACGCCGTCATGTGTCCCACCAGGTGCGACAATGCTGGTACATGCCGGGGTAGGGCTGTCTGTATGGCATGGTATTCAAAAGAAGCACCCAGAAAACTTCCTGCTTGCTGTGCTGCCCTGCTGCTGCCTGCCTCCTTTAATCAACTCCAACCCAACCTCTCCTCCCTCCCACCCCTCACCCTGGCTCCCCCGTCTCCCCTCCCTCCCACTCCCCTGCACCGCCTCGACTCCCCCCAGGGACGAGCTATACGACATGCTACCGCGCAGCATACAGCACGCGCTGCGGTGCCAGCTGCAGGACCCCGAGAACTTCCTCCCGACGGGCGAGTGGAGGCCAACCTCAAGCGCGGGCTGCTGCTGCTGCTGCTGTGTGCTTTACCTCAGTCCCCACCCACCCTCTCCCCTCCTCCCTCCACCACATCCTCCCTCCCCTCACCCCCTCCCCCGTCCCCCGTCCCCACTCGCCTCTCCCCCCTCTCCCCTCCCCACACTCTTCCCCCAGAGACGAGCTATACGACATGCTCCCGCGCAGCATACAGCACGCGCTGCGGTGCCAGCTACAGGACCCCGAGAACTTCCTCCCCGATGGGCGAGTGGAGGCGAACCTCAAGCGCGGGCTGCTGCTGCTGCCTACCATGGCTCACAACACCATCTTCTGGCAGTCGCTGCACACACCGGGGACCCTCATGGGGGCAGATGAGGTCGTCTTTCAAGTGCAGGTGGGTGGTTGGGGTGGTGGGTGCGGGTTGTGGGTGCATGGTTGGGTGGGTCAGGTACTTTTTGTCTGTTCCTCGTGCCTCCTCTGCTGCTCCTGTGCCTCCTCTGCTGCGCCTGTGCCTCCTCTGCTGCTCCTGTGCCTCCTGCTGCTGCTGCCCACCATGGCTCACAACACCATCTTCTGGCAGTCGCTGCACACGCCGGGCACACTCATGGGGGCGGATGAAGTGGTTTTCCAAGTGCAGGTGGGTGGGAGAGGGGTTGGGTAGGTGGGTAGGTGGGGTAGTTGGTGGGTGGGTGGGTGGATGCAATGCATGCGTGGGTGGTGTAGCCTTCTTTTGCTGTTTCCAAATCGCACTCCCCGTTCTATCTTCCACTCTACCCACCACCACCAGACGTTCTACTACGCATGCAAGGAGGCAGTAGACGCGGCTCTCATAGACGTGCTACTGGGCCCGTCCAACAGCACCATGCGCTGCAACATATGCGCCACCCATACCCTCTCCAAACCCGCCCTGCCCTCCCTCTTTCCTTCCACCCCCTTCTCTCTCCACCACCAGACGTTCTACTATGCGTGCAAGGAGGCAGTAGACGCAGCTCTCATAGACGTGTTGCTGGGTCTGTGCCGCATCTGTGGCGTGGAGGAGCCTATCTCAGGGCCCTTCCCCCACAATCTCCCCCTTCCCTTCCCCCACCACCACCAGACGTTCTACTATGCGTGCAAGGAGGCAGTAGATGCAGCGCTCATAGACGTGTTGTTAGGTCTGTGCCGCATCTGCGGCGTAGAGGAGCCTATCTCAGGGCCCTTCGCGCCCTCCTACCCCATCCCCGCCTCCCTCTCCTCCTCCTCCAACCCCTCCCCCTCCTCCACCTTCTCTCCGCGGTCCCTCGACTCTTCTACAGCCAGCAGCGGCGGCGGGAGCTTTAGGAAGGGCGGGGGGTACGGAGGGGTTGGGAGTGGTGACGGGATTGGGGGGTACGAGGAGACGGATGAGCAGTTTTTGGCGAAGTATGGAGGGGGGTCGAGCAGGGTGCTTAGCAGTGCGGCTGCGGAGGGGGGGGGGGAATGGTGGTGAAGGTGAAAGAAGACATGACAGAGAGGCGAGCGTGGAGGCTGCAGCAGATAGAAGCTCAGGAGAAGGAGAAGGAGAAGGAACGGGAGAGAGAGAGGGAGATGGAGAGGGAGAAGGAGAGGGCAAAGGCGCAGAGGACGCGGGAGAAAGGGGGCTGGAAAGGGGAGAAAGGGGGAAGAGCGAGAAAGGGGAGAAGGGGGACAGGCGTGAGTATGTGGAGATGGGTATTGGGGAAGGGAGGAGGGGGTCAGGATGGGAGGACGTTCCGAGGATACTAAGCTCAGGTGAAGGGGCGGGCAGGAGCACGAGAAGGACAGAGAGAAGTGACGGGAGAGACTCTGAAGCAGGGCAGTTTGAGCATGGGCTAGCAGCAGCAGGTAGTGTGGACCAAGGCAGGGGGGAAGGTCGAGGGGAAGGGGGTGTCTCAGGGTTGGGAGAGCGAGGGGCGGGAGAGAGCGAGCGAGCAGAGAGGGGCGGGAAGGGGGGAGGATCAGGCAAGGGAGGAGCAGGAGGCGGGCAGACAGGGGCTGACTGGTGGGAGACTGGAAAGGAGAAGGGCAAGAAGGGCGCAGGGGGGAGCAGTAGCAGTGGGATCGGGGGCGGGGGCGGGAGCACGGGTGCAGGTGGGGGTGGAGGTGGGAGGGTTAAGGCAGTGGCATTAGACACGAGCAACAGCGGTCGCATGTCCCGCTCGCCTCTGCGCATGGTCACTGCTGTTCTCTCCCGTAACCGTGCCACCAGCAGCAGCAGCAGCGGTGCCGGCACTCCCGGCACCCACAGCGGTTCCAGCAGCAGCAGCAGCAGCAGGAGGGTGTTTGTGGAGAGGAGCTGGAGCGAGGGAGGGGTGGTGACGCGTGGAAATAATGAGGACGGGGGGGTGGCGCGAGTTAACAGCAGCGGGAGCCTGTGGGGTGAGTCCGATGCTGATCTCGCTGCGGCTGCTGCAGCGGCCGCAGCATACGTTGCTGCTGGCCGGGCTGCTGCTGGTGCGGGTGGTGGTGGCACCACTGCAAACGGAGCTGCTGCTGCTGCTGGTGCTGCTGGTGCTGCTGGTGGTGCTGGTGGTCCCGGTGCTGGTAGCAGCGGCATGATTCCCATCTCTTGGTCGGACTCAGATCCCTCGGTGCAGCTACCAGCTCTAGAAGACCTCAAACACACCATGCTCGCCTCTGCCACTGCTGGGAAAGCTGGTGCTACTTCTGGCGGCGGCAGGCGGAGCGGGGAGGGCGAGAGGGAGCGCGGGGGTGGAGGCGGGGCAGAAGGAGCAGGGAGACGGCGTAAGGTGCAGCGGAGCGTGAGCCTCAGTGGTTCTGCACTCAATATTGCTGCTGATGCTGTTACAAGCAGCCCTGCGCCTGCCACTCCAAAGAGGGGCTTCTGGAAAGGGGGGAGTGAGAAGGAGCGGCGGAGAGACCGGGGGTTGGATTCGGATTATGCGTATCAAGGACAGACGGTGGGGACTCCTCGCGTTTCCGGTCGGCGACCGGTTGGGGAGGGAGAAGGGGGAGGGGGAGGAGGAGGAGGGAGGAGTGGGGGAGGGGACGGAAAAGGTGTTCGCTCTGCCGCGTCAGCAGCAGCGGCGGCAGCGGCTGCAGCAGCAGCGGCAGTGGCAGCGGCAGCTAGTAAAAGCCCGCTGACTGGGGTGAAGGCGAAGAAATGGAGAGACCGGCTGGTGAGAGGGTCGTTTGGTGGCGGTGCTGACGGGTGCTGCTGCTGCTGCTGCTGCCGCCGCCGCTTCTGCTGTGGCGGCACCTGAGGAGGAGGAGAGATTTAGTGGGGAAGCAGTGGTGCAGGGTTACGGGCACGGGGATGGAGAGGGGAGAGCGGGAAGGGAAGGTGTGGAGGGGGGAGAGTATGGATTGGGTGATGGTGGATATGGTGATGGGTTTGGGTTGGGTGGGAATGATAAATTTGATGGTAATGCTGGTGGTGGTGGGGTAGGGGATTACGATGATGATGATGACGATGTGTGGGGCAATCTCAAGGCGCAAAAGAAAAGGGAGCAACATAGCAGCGCGCACAAGCGAAGCCAGTCCTTGAACCGCAAATCACCGGCAGCAAGAAACAAGCAGGTTCCTAAGCAGAAGCAGCGTGGAGGGGGAGAGCTACGAGGGTCCTCTCCATAGTGTGTACCATGGTGTATCATCTCAAATGCTCCTTGTTTTATCAGTTTTCACTTTCAAGAAGTCAGCGGCTATCCCTAGTTGCTGCATTGGCTTCGCGTTTGAAAATAACTGCTTGCGTTGCTCTTGTGTAATCGTGCTCATTTTCCTAACATAACTGTATTTTATGCAATCAATGACGCCTTACAGTTTGTTGGGTCATGCAGATGTGTTTGAATAATGTGACCACTGGTCCACTGGGCGTTCTGGCCTTCTCATAACTTTCTTTTTTGGTTGTAAATTGTAATGGTCCAATCCATTCTGCTAGGAAACTCCAAGATGTTACAAATCCATTCAAACATAGAAAAGCGCGCAACTGTAAAGTTGTGTTGCTAGGAACCGAGTTCACTATAACTGGTATGATGGGTTTCATCTCGCCTATCTCCTCCCCTGAATCCTGCGTGCCGCACGCAGTATCGAGAACGAACGCGAAGCGTCAGACGGTTGGAACTGAATTGAAGCGTCGGACGGTTACAGCACATCTGGACCGTCGGGAGCAGACGGCATCGGGCAACTACCTCCACATTCCTCGCGAAAAATCAACGTTACATTCCGCAAATGGCGGCGAAAGTCGAGAATGCTGGCGACGCGACGGATCCAGAGCCAATGACAGGAGAGGTGCTGTTCTGCGGCTCGACGGACTGGCAAACGATCGGGCGATCAGAGAACAAGACCAAAAACAAGGGGAAAGGCGCCGAGGACACCCGATTCCCGCTCCTCACCGAGCCGCACCGACTCGCACCGCTGAAAGACGTTCGAATCGTTTCCGTCGCTACTGGTTGCGGTATGCTTTGGTGTTCGGGGAGGGAACCTTAATGCTGTTGGCGGCGTTTTCTTTGTAGTATTTCGAAAGTCCTATGAGAAACAGCTGCAACAGGAACTGTAGCGCGTTTGGCGTGTAACAGCAGCAGCAGCAGCAGCAGCGGGAGATTCTTTCTCCGGGCAGCCATGATGCCTTTGGCGCGTGTTAATAACTGGCACTCTCTCGCTGCTTTCGTCTCGCGCAACGGTCACTGGGTTGACTCGCGCTACACTCTGTCGCCATGCAGTGCGAGAGCTCCCGAAACTGGCTAGAACGTGAATCGGAGAAAGTGTGAGAAAAATGCAGACACGCAAGGGTGCGTACGTGCAATGCGGGGACGGTTGTGCGTCCTCTGTTCCCCTCACTCTAATGGTCCGTGTATTTATATATCCGCCTCACTCTGTCTCTGGGACTTCCAGTGCTGGTTCCCCCCCTCCACTTCCCTGCTTCCAGCTTACGCCTTCCCCCTTCCGCTTCCTCCCCCCCCCCCCCCCCCCCCCCTTTCTTGCCTCCCCCCCCCCCCCCCCCCCCCCCCGCCCCCTTCCCCCCAGTGGCGGCGCACTGCCTGGCGGTGGACGCGGACGGGCGCTGCTACTCCTGGGGGCGGAACGAGGTGGGGGGAATGCGGAACGGGAGGAACCGGGGGAAAACGGGGAAAACGGGGGAGACGGGGGGAAACAAGGGGAAACGGGGAAAGACGGATTGGATGGCACGGCGTCGTTGTGGGTTGAGGGGGGGAAATGTGGGATGGTAGCTTTTGAGGGGAGAGAGGGAGGGGAGAGAGGGAGTGGAGAAGGAGGAGGGTGCGTACATATCGATTTGCCACGAATTTAGCACTGCAAGGGTCAAAAGTACAAAGTATCTAGCATATTCGCCATCCATGCACCCATGCATACACACACTTGCGTGTGTGTTCACTCATCCAGTGCGTTCATCTGTTGACATATGTGCGACTATAATCATGCGCTTGTACTCTTGTCTGGACGTTTTTGTGCATGTGTGTGCGTATGTGCGTGTGTGCATGCATTGCAAGAAGTGCGGGCAGCTGGGCCATGGCCATCAAACGGATCTCAATCAGCCCACCATCATCGAAGCCCTCGCAGGGTGAGAGTGAGACCCAACCATGCCAACTACCCACCACCTGTCACCCACCACCTGTCACTCGCCACCTGTCACCCGCCACCTGTCACTCGCCACCTGTCACCCACCACCTGTCACCCACCACTCTTATTTCCAAGAAGGAATTCTTAAGGCCCCTTCGTTTTCCCTCCCAACCACATCCCACCAACTCACATTTCCATCCCACTGCACCTCACCTCTCCATCCGCTGCCAAGCATCTATTTTACTCACCACCTCCATGCCTCCCTACCTCTCTGCCTCCCTTCTCTTCCTTTCCTCCCTCTCCTCCCCGCCGCCCCCCCTTCCTGCCACCAGCAAGAGAATAGTCGCCGTGGCATCGGGTCGCAACCATTCCCTAGCTGTTGCCGAGGACGGCAGGTATGCCTAATGCATGCAAGCATGCTGGGCCTGACTTTTGGTGCATGCACGCTGGGGGAGGGGAGGGGGGAGGGGGCACACCCGGGTGGATGGAGGAGGACACTTGCCCATGCGTGTGCAAGTTTGGGGCATGGGCACGGGTGGGTGATAAGACTGCTTTTTGCAGCTGAGACATCCACGAGCATTCCCCTCTCTTCGTGTGCCATTGTAACGAGGTGACTTTTGAGTCGACTCAAAAGTCACCTTTTGAGTCGACTCAAAATTCATGGGCACGGGTGGGTGGTAAGACTGCTTTTTGCAGCTGAAACATTCACAAGCCATTCCCCTCTCTTCCAGCAACCCGCACTTTGAGTCGGCACCCGCACAATCCGGTTCACACCAAACCAACCATGCCAACAGACCAGCGCATGCTCCCTTGTACCCCTTTTTTCACACCTCTTTCTCCCTACCTTCTCGCCGCTCCGCCCTCCACCTCCCCTCTCCCTTCCCTTGTCCCTCTCCCTCCCCTTCACTCCAACACCCCCATTCCTGCGACCACCTATCTGCCTGCAGTGCATGGGCGTGGGGCTCTAACAAGCACGGCCAGCTCGGCACGGGCTCCCTCAAAACAGGTCTCTCCGCCTCCCTCTCTTCTCCTCTCCTCCCCGCTCCTCGCTCGCCTTCCTTTCCTGCCTCTGCCCCCCACTCCTCCCTCACTTCCTCTCCGCATCGCTCCATTTTCCCCCCTTCCCTCGCCTTGTTCCTCTCCTCTCACAACCCCATTCCTTCATCAAAACCCATCATCAAAACCCCTAATCCCCCTCCTCCTCCCTCCCTCCATCCCTCCCTCCCTCCCTCCCTCCGTTCCTCCCTCGTCCTCCCCCCCAACCCTGTCCCCACAGAGCAAGAGAAGAAGCCAGTGCTGAGTGCAGTGAAGAGAGTGCGAGCCGTGGCATGCGGGGGCGAGTTCTCCTGCTGGATCACACACCCCGACCCCTCCACCTCCTCCGCCACCACACCTCCCCCCAACAATGCCTCCACCTCCGCAGCAGCAGCAGCAGCAGCAGCAGGAGCGGCTGGGGGTGCAGAGCCTTCAGAGCCGCCCTCTCCCCCCAACCTGTTCACAGCAGGCTTGCCGCAGTACGGGCAGCTGGGCCATGGCACTGACAATGAGGTGCGTGTTGTTGGCGTTTTGAGTTGACTGGAAACTGTTCTTTCGGAGTCGACTCGGCAGGAGGTGACTTTTGAGTCGACTCAAGGTGACTTTTGAGTCGTCTCAAAATTCGCCTCGTTTTGAGTCGACTGGAAGCTGTTCTTTCAACAGTCCACTAATCGCGGTACGGGCAGTTCAGTCATGGCACTGACAACGAGGTGCGTGGGCACTTTGCTTGCTTACACGATGTAGGGCCAATGGAATGGCAATGCATGCAAGCATCCCTGTCAACATGCAAACAGCCAAACCATTGATCCATCCAGCTCCTATGTGTTTCCTGCATGTCCCCAAGCCTCAACTCAAGTATATGCATGGCAGTACAACGCCAAGGACTCGTGTGTGCCCCTCAGCTCAGCCCACGCCTCCTCAACTGCTTTCCCCCACCCTCTCCCTTTGGCTTCCTCCTACGGTTCGTGTGTGTGTGCATGCACGCATGGCAGTACAACGCCAAGGACTCGGCTGTGAAGCTCGTGTATGCCCCTCAGCCCACGCCGCGTGCCGTGGCTGCTCTGGCGGGCCGGGAGATGTGCAAGGTGGCATGCGGGACCAACCACACAGGTGTGATCACAGCTAGGAAGGGTGTGGGTTGGGCACGGAGAGAGGAGGGGATGAGCATAGGGAGAAGTGGTCTCAGATGTTCGGGCCGATTTATTTTGATGAGACCAATCGTTTTGTTGACTAGCAAATCAAATGTAAAGGGCTGCTCACACACCGAGAGAGTGAGTACGGAAGCGGGGAATTGTGTATTCTGAGTGCGCGCATTTTTCTTTCCTCCCATGTATCTTGTCCTAATGTTTGTGTATCGTCTTCTCTCACACACTACTACGATGTGCCTTGTCCTTCTGGCAATGGGAATGGTGTGGCGTTGTGTCGATCGCACGGCATGGCATGGCATGGCATGGCATGGCATGGCAGTGGCTGTGGACTCCAAGGGCTTTGTCTTTACGTGAGTCACCCTGTCACACCAGCACACACTTCTCTTTCCCACCTCACTCCCCTCTCCCACTCCTCATCTTCTGTACGCCCTCCATGCATCCCTCCCGCCTCTCTTTCTTTACATTTTGCACTATTCTTCATCTCACTGGCCCCGTCCCTCCTCCCCTCCATCTATATCCCCTCCTCTGCACCTTCGCACCCACCCTTCTCCTCCCTTCACCCTTCCTCCTCTCCTTAGCTTTTCATCCCTTCCACATTACTCCACTTCTCCAGTCACATCCCGTCACGCTCCACCCTCCCGTCCCCTCTCCTCCACCCCCTCTCGTTCGGTTCGGCCCACCAGGTGGGGCTTCGGGGGGTTCGGTCGGTTGGGGCACAAGGAGCAGAAGGACGAGTGGCGGCCGCGCATGCTCGACGTGTTTCAGCGCCAAAACACCCTGCCTGCCTCCGCTGTCGTTGCTGCTGGCGGGGCCTTCTCTGCCTGCACTGCTGGTGAGAGCGACTGCGAGAGTGCAGAAGGACGAGTGGCGGCCGCGCATGCTGGACGTGTTTCAGCGCCAGAACACCGTGCCTGCCAATGCTGTTGTTGCTGCTGGCGGGGCCTTCTCTGCCTGCACTGCTGGTGAGAGCGAGAGTGCTCCTTGCTCCGGATCAAAACCTACTCCTTGCTTCTCATCTTTCCCCATTTCCTCCTCACTCCACGCATCCCCCTTTCCTTCCCTCCAACCCCCAACAGGCGGCGGGCAGCTGTACGTGTGGGGCAAGGTGAAGCAGACGGGCGACTGCTGGATGTACCCCAAGCCGCTGCTGGACCTGAGCGGGTGGCACATCCGCAGCATGGCGTGTGGCACCACCACCTCGTGCGTGGCTGCTGATGCCTCCACCATCTCATGGGGCCTGGCGCAGCACGGGGAGCTGGGCTACGGACCCACGGGCGCCAAGTGAGTGCTGAGATCCCACGTTTGCTGAGGCCCCTTAAAATCCTCTTGTTGCATGGGGAGGTGAGGTGAACTCGTGAAGAACGGCAGGGGCAGGGTAGGGATGGGGCATGGCGCAGCATTTGGAGCTGGGATACGGACCCAAGGGCACCACCACCTCGTGCGTGGCTGCTGATGCCTCCACCTCGTGCTGGGCTACGGACCGAAAGGTGCCAAGTGAGTGCTTCTGATAGGCCCATGTGAGGCCTCTCATGGGAAGCCGCTCATTGCATGGGCAGCTGGGGTGAACTGGTGGGGCAGAGCAGGGGCAGGGTTCGGCACAGCATGGGGAGCTGGGCTACGGACCCAAGGGCGTCAAGTGAGTGCTGATATTGCCCTTGACTTACTGACAAGTCTCTACGATGGATCCAAGCCCTCCCTATACTCCTTGCAGCAGGTTGCATTGCTCTTCGTATCCCCCATCCACTCAACTGTTCCTCTCCTCTCCTCTCCTCTGCTCTCCTCTCCTCTGCTCTCCTCTTGGCAGGTCATCAGCCAACCCGAAGAAGATTGACTCACTCGAAGGCATCCACTCCATACAGTAAGTCTCCACGCAATGAATGACACGATGAGGCTAACACGATGCAGCTGCACGTGCACCACCTGCTGCTGTGTGCTTCCCGGATCATATGAAACCATGTACACGTTGCACGTTTTGGATGGAGAACGAAGCACCACCCTGTGTGCCCACAGTGTGCCCACTCCTGTCGGCCACAGTGTGCCCACTCCTGTCGGCCACAGTGTGCCCACTCTTCCCTTTCTTCCTGTCTTGCTACGAGCCATTTTTGCCATGATCTCATTCTCACTACTCTCCTTCACCACCCATTCGTTCCACCCTTTCTAATCCTCCCAATGCCTTCCCTTCCCCTCCAACTCCAACCATGCACCCCCCTGCGCCTCCTCTCCTGGCCTGCCCATCCATGCAGGGTGGCAGGCGGAGTGGGATTCTTTCTGCACCTGGTCTCGCGCACGGGAGCCCCTGGGGAGAGTGCAGAGAAACAGAGCAAGGCCGGGAAGCTGCTGGAAGCGGTGAGTGAGAGCAGGCAGAGGAGGAGGAGGGAGGGAGGGAGGGAGGGAGGGAGGGAGGGAGGGAGGGAGGGAGGGAGGGAGGGAGGGAGGGAGGGTGGGATGCGGGGAGGGAGAAATGGAGGGAGGGTGGGTAGGTCACGGTTGAGTGATGGTCACGTTAGGTGAGTGCGAGCTGTTTGAGCAGCACAGCTCATTACAGTTTAAAAGGCATGTATTTGAAAGAACGCATTCCCACTCCCAATCCATTGACCTCAAACGAGGTGACTTTTGAGTCGACTCGAAAGTCGCCTCTCCCACCATTCACACTTGACATTGACCTCTCATCCCACTAATAAATCTCATTTCCTTTAACCCCCACTCCTCATCCATTCCTTCCTTCAGCTTCCAGTATTCACCCCTGAGCCTGACATCATCTCACAAAAACCTGCTGGCAAAAGCAAGGGGGCCGGCACTGGGAGAGCACGGAAAAAGGAGGAGAAAGAAGAGGCTGAGGTGGAAGAGGAGGGTGGGGATGCAGAGGGAGGGGAGGAGGAAGAGGACGAGGAGGTGGAGGAGGTGGAGAGTGAGGAGGAAGAGGAGGAGGAGAGCGCATCAAAAAAGAGAAAAGGGAAGGGTGCGAAGGGAGGCAGTGCAGGGGCGAAGAAGGGGAGAGGAGCAGCAGCAGCTGCGGCTGGCAGGGGAAGGGGTGGAGGGAAGGGGAAGGCAGCAGGTGCAGCAGGCGGTAAAGGGAAAGCTGCAAGAGGGCGAGGCAGAGGGAAGAGGAAATAGGGCTTTAATATGGACGATGCATTGCATTCTGCTCACATCAATGGCTCTGTCTTCACTGTTTTTTTTTTTCCTCTGATCATTACTGCGCGGATGACAGTTGTCCTTTTGTGCCAGATGCCTCCCTCCTCTGGATATCAAGAATTGGTAGCATACCAGATCCTACCAAGAGCCCTACTGCCATACCTTGCATATGATGAATGCATGTTCATTTGATTTGGTGGAGGGAAGGCTCGACCAAACAAACCACTCAAAGACAGTAGCTATTATGTAGAATAGTGATGTACGGTAGTCTCATCCCACTACCTTTGCAAGGTGCATGCACTGCTGAAGATATTATACCGTATATTTCACACAAGAAACCAGACACACAAGAAGCAGAGCAGTGCACCACACACTGACTACAGCAATAGAAGCACGTCACATAGAAGGCATCACTCTGAAAGCTAGGCCATTTCACGAAAAGACTTCACCCTGTACAAAACGACAGCAGATGTCACGTCCGCACAGCACCCGGTTACGGTACCCTAAAGTCCCAGCAAACCCTCAGCAGCACCGTGTTCCCACCGCAGACTCCACAGCTAGCCTGACCACTAGTTGCCATGACTCGGTCAGTACGCGACAGGTACAGCGGCAGGTGATGTTTGAGATGTAGGTACGAGGGTTGTGGTACGAGATTGGAAGAACACATCACAGGTGCGCCGCCACCTGTCCCGACCACTTGTCGCGGCCCTGCTCCACATTCTTCCACGACTCAAAGTCCACCCAGTCGAACGCGATGGGGCCCAGCAGGTGCCCTGGCAGGCCGAAGGCGTGCACGAGAGGGAGCGCGTGCGGGCGCACCTCCTTGCACAGCAACGCCACTTCGTCGTGTACTGCCTGGCCTTGCTCCGTGCTCACGTACCCGTACCTGGTTTCCATTAGAGGGGGAGGAGATGGGGAAAACAGTTGGGAAGTTGTAGAGGAGTTGTGATGGAGAGTGTGTGGTGGTGATGTAATCGAGGAAGGGAGCGCATCGTTGTTGACAGTGGTGGTGAAGGTTGGTCGTGTTTGGGTGTATGGAGGGTGGATGAGGGAGGGGAAGTCAAGAGGGTGAAGTCGCAACTTGAAAAGCATTGTAGCGAGAGAGGGAAGGTGGGGTGCGCATTACCTGAGGAAGACCGGGTCTTCATCCACAGTAACCATGGCGAAGACGGTGGTGAGCAGTGTGAGCACGTCCTTGAGCGGAATTTTGAGTCAACTCAAAAAGCGGACACTGAGTCAGATTCAAATATCGACTTATCACACACGAGTTACCTGAGGAAGACGGGGTCTTCATCCACAGTGACCATGGCAAAGACGGTGGTGAGCAGTGTGAGCACGTCCTTGAGCGGCCCAGGCTGCAGCTGTTGCAGCACATCTGTGGCCGCCACCAGCACCTCTAACTCCGCATGCGCCCTGCCCAGGTCCGAACTCAGCTGGAAGCTCTGTTGCACGGGTAGAGGAGGAGAGGGAGGGGTCGGGCACATAAGTACATTAGTTGGGGGCACAGCGGGTGGAATGTGCAGGCAGGCAGGATTACAGGGGGAGAGGCCTGACCACGAGCAGAAAGAAACTGACGAACTAGAGTGTACGGGCATTGCGTGTGGTTGGAGTAGCAACAACTATGTCCAGTTTAGCTGGTTGCAACAAGTGCACGTGCAGCGACGCACCTGGTTGAGTGCGTCTGAGATGCTGTGGCCAGCAGACACGAGCACGTTCACCCGAGTGGCCAGACGCTCCAGCAGGTCCCTCTCCCTCAGACGGAACAGAGCCAGCTGTGTGCCGCAGGGGGGTGCACAGGGCGGGATAGGGAGAAGTTTAGGGCTAAAGACACGTAGATGTGACACAGGGGGGTCGATGGCTGCTGTGAGCATACACAGAGGAAGAGCAATAAGTTGATGATGGAATGGAGTGTATAGAGGAAAGAAAAATCTTTTAGGCATGGGAGCTGCACGACATGTTGTGGTGCGGTGAGGTGGTGGTGTGATGGCGATGGGCATGTGCACTGACTGCATGTGTGGAGCACACGTACATGGAACTTGAGGTCGCGGAGAATCGCACGGTTGGACGAGGTGGAGAGCGGTACTCGGGGCCCGTTGAGGTGTTCCAGTCCCAGCCCGTGCAGGGGCTTGCCCTTCCTCTTGGCCGCCATGTAATCCGCTAGAATAGCCTTGCTCACCTGAATACACGCACAGATGAGTGGGGCAGATGTATTTACATGAGCATATGTATAAGTGAGTGTGCTTGCACATGCACGGACGTGGTAGCATGCATATCAGTATCAGCTACAAAGGCAGACTTGGTAAAGCACGCATGGGTGCATGCATGGGCGCACAGGTGCACGGGTGCATAGGCGCTTCACTCACCGTCTGCATGAGCACCACATTATCGCCCTCAAACGTGGTCATGACGTCGTGCTCCGCGTACAGGTGCCCGATGCGGTTGTCGCTCTTCACGCCCATGCCCCCGCACGCCTCACGGCACTCCTGCAGCGTGCGCAGCATGTGCCACGAGTTCATCGCCTTGTACCCGCTCGACTGCACGTGAATGTACTTCACGTCTGAGGGCCGCCGCGACAGGTACAGCTCCCGCAGCCCGTTCACCGCCAGGTGCAGCACGTACCTGAGAGCAGCAAAGGGGAGACAAGCGTACAGGGAGTGGTGGGTGGGGAAGGGAAGGTGGGTGAGTGGGAAGAGACAGACTTTGGAGGGTTGATTAGCAGCACAAGAGTAGCGGTTGGGTGAGAACGGCAGGCCAGGAATGCGCTGGAGTGAGTGAGTGAGTCTAATGTGAGACAGCGAGAATGGAAAGAGACGCACGTTTTGGCGAGGAGTGGCAGCAGGCGGCGCTGGTGGGTGGGATAGTCGAGCAGCAACACCTCCTCCTCCCCGGCCGTGAGCGCAAAGGCACGACGCGTGAGCGCATAGCGCAGCGCGATGGACAGACCGACCTGGAGAGGGGAGAGAGAGAGATGATTAGATGAGCAGTGTGGTATGAATGCTCACATGGAGTGGGTTTGTGCTGGTGTTAGTGCTGGTGGAGTGCTGGTGCTTCAGTTCAGACGATGCATAAATCAACTGCTAGCTGGTTACTGACCAGGGTGCAAGGATAATATTCATGGTTATGTGAAGCAAGGGGAATGCGAGAAAGGGGGGTGAACGAGAGCCAGCTTACCTTGCACTGATTGACGGCGCTAATAGCCAACGTCACACGGCCGCCAGTCAGCGGCGCCATGAACGCAGCGAACCTCTGGTCAGGATCGGGGATAGGGCTGATGTAGCGGCCGTCTGCCGTCACGTCTGCCACTGCGTTCAGGAGGTTCTCACGAGGGATCCTCACACTGTCGAACCTGCAGCATGGCATCCAGGCAGGCGGACAGACAGGTGGGGACAGGCGGTCAGGTGGACAGACGGGCAGGCATGCAGGCAGAAAAGCCAACAGGTGGACAGCAGAGCGAGAGGCAAGACAGGAGGGGGAAAGGCAGCGGAGTGGTTACCACATGCGGCCGTTGTCAATGCCGTTGAGGCACGTCTTGTGGCCGCAGTCAGCAATGCGCACGCCCGGCATGACGCGGCCGTGCGCGTCCCTGATGGGCACGATGAACGCGTGCACGCCCTCGTTGCGCCCGTTCATGTGCAGCTGCGCGAACGCCACCGTGTGATTCGCATGCTGGCGGGACGACAGTCGACGTGCACGCACAGGGGAAGAGTAGGTAGAGCGAGAGAGAGAGTGAGCAGAGGAAGGAAAGCACCAGCACATGAACGCACAGATGGACTAGAGTGAACTTATAACGACTTTGGCAAGGGAATATCGTGTGAGATGAAGCGGATGTGGCAGGAAAAGGGGCTGCGATTGGCAAGGTGGTTGGTGTGTGTGGATGAGAGGTCGCGGAGAAGGGCACCCACCATGGCGGCGCCTCCGATCCAGTACTTCTGCGCCGTCTCGCACGGCGTTGTGATGATGAACTCCTCGCGCGCAGGGTCGTACGACGCGACCGTCTCAATGCCGCGCACCTGACGACCCACGACGCACGAACAACCACCGTGAGCGAAGGAAGATTCATGGATAGCAAAGCAGGCAACTCGGGGGAAAACGAATGTAGCGTCAGGAGCGCCAGGAAGAAAAGGAGAGAAGGGGGAAGAGGCAGGCAAGCGGGAGGTAATCAATACAACACGTGAATTAAGGAGCGAGGCTTGTTATGGCGCCTATGCACTCACATTGCTTCCGTGGCCGAGCTCTGTGAGTCCGAAGCAGCCCGCCACTTCGTAGTCCTCCGTGCGAGCCAGCCACTTGTCGTGATGCCTCTTCGTCCCCAGGTACTTCACCGCACCACCCCTGCCATTAGCCCAGCACCAATCTTGGAATTAATCTCGACTTTATGACAGTTTACGGGTTGTGAGCGGTCAGTATTCTTTTCAAGAAGGAACGCCTCTCGGGCCCCCTCATAATCAAGTCTTTTCGCCAAGTTTCATAACGGATAAAAGGGTGAAAAAAGAAAGGGTCAGCACTATCAGCAGCAGCACAAGGTCAGCACCATCATCATAAAAGCAGCAGGAAGCAGCTCACCAGAGGTGGATGTGCACGCCCAGCTTGACCGCCATGGACTGGTCGAACATGCTAATAGCCTCGTGCATCGCCGACTTGCGACGCACGCTCGCCGGACTGTCGTCCGTCAGCCATCCCTTGAAGTATCCTCGGTCCCTCAGATAGATGATTCGCTCAAACGTCACGTCCCGCTGCTGCTCCTTGGTCGAGTTGTAATCCATGCTCGTGTACACGTGTCCACGTGGAGGGTCAGGATTGGACCAGAAGATCTTGGTGTTAGCGAAGATGTTAAACATCTCCTTGTGAACCTCCGCGCCGTCTCCCACCAGCAGCTTATGCAGCGCAGCGGGGTTGAACTTAGCGGGTCCTGAGAGCGACATACAGCAAACAAACGGTTCGTGCTTCGGTATCAAACGAGCAACAGAATCAATCTTGAAAAAACTAAAGGTTGATTGTGCGGATCATTTATCTGTGTATCTCGCTCTCCGCATTCTTCGCGACGGTAATACCTTCGTGACGCTCAGGTGGGACGTATTGGAGACAAGGAGCAGCGCCAAGAAGGATCTGTTCGTCCATCGTAGGGCCTTGCAGAGAAAGGTGCTGCGCGAGAACGCCCACTCGCCGGTTCACGGCGTCCGACCGTCCTTCCATGGCGAAACCAGCGCGATGCACGCAACGATGCGAAACGACTCGCTACGAACGAGCGCGTGATGCTGTCAACAGCAAAACTCGCTCGCGCTTCCAGGTATCCACTGACAAACCCGAGGCTTCGCAGATGAAATCGAAAAAGAGGAACCGACTAGAATGAGGAAATGGAGCAAGGTGAAAGAGCAAAGCCTCGTTGGCAAAATCAGCGAATGGAGAGCTCGGACTCAAAATGCCGTCTTTATACGTCAGCCTTCAGAAAGTAAAGTTCCGCTCCCCGCGGGGTGGTGGCGCGGGAGCTTTCAGGGAGTCACCGACACGAGAGCGCGCAAACATCCCTACATACCCCCGCAAAGCGCATCAAGATTGTGGTCTATCAGCCTCAGGCTCTATGGCGAAAGAGCGGCCCACATCAACCCCGGGATTGCCCCAGCGTGGGACAAAATGCCGTCATCACTCCCGCAAGCCACGAAATGTCCAGCTAGTATTGACGTGGAAGTGTCCCAAGAACAGCTGGGCGGGGACAACTCAGCGAAGATGAGAGGGGATGGATACAGGTCAATGGAGGTCGAGATTTCGTCAATAGAGGTCTGCGAAATTCCTAAATCGTCACCGCAAGAAAAAGTTACAAATGTGCACTGGAAAACCTTCATAACAGACGAGCTGAAAGGGAAACTTAGGGCGTATCTTTGGTTCAAGTCATGAGCACTGTACAGGGCATCCGCACATTACGGATGCCCGGAACAGCACGCAACACCACCTCGGGGCCATCGGCATCATGCGACCCAAATGATGGCGCGCAACATTTGGCGCCAAAAGCCCAGCACAAACCAACAGTCGCAACCAATGACGCGCTGTCGTCCCGTCAGAACCACACACAGTCCCCTCGCGAGGCACAACCTGCACCGGACCCACGACCGTCAAAATTCACGGCCGCAGAAGTGACATTCTGAACTGCGCGGCCCCAGCACCACACCCAACCGCGCACATTCCCATCCAACACAGCCACGCTAGGGTTTCTGCACAGAGCACTTCACAATGAACATCACAAAGAACTCGATCTGAGAAACGCACAACCATTGCACGCTCTCCCAGTCAGGAACTTCTAGTCTGCCACGCTAGGTCTGCAAGCGATGCCGCCACGACGAAGCACCCGTCGTAAGGGGAAAGAAAAAGCCACGGACGACGAGCCTATGGAGGACCCTCCCTACGTTGCTTGGATGAAGGAACAGAAGAAGCAGGGGAAGCAGCCGCCCTCAATCAAACGTCTGGCGAAGGTTAAGCGTGACTTCGCTGGAGCCTCCACAAGCGGAGGATCGCGACTCGCGTACGAAGAAGGCGCGGACACCGACGTGAGCGACGATGACCTCGAAGAAATCGTCTCTGAGTCGGACAGTGAAGCCGACTCCGAAAACTACAAGGAGGGCTCGGACGATGACGACGACGAATCCGACGCGGGAGAGGAGGGGAGCGGCGACGATCGCAGCACCCGCGCGTCGAAGAAGGAAAAGCGCCCAAAGCCCTCGAGCAACAAGAAGCAGTGGTCGGACGCCGAGCTCACTTCACTGGCCGCCGCCAAGTGGGTTACGAAGGATGACCTGAAGGCCATGCAAGACAAGCAGGGGAGTCAGTATTGGAAGAAGCTGCGTGCGCACATCGTCGAGGCGGAGCCGGATTGGAACCGTGACGAGGGACAGATGTCGAACGCATGGAAACGCCTCGAGAAGAAATACTTCAAAACGAAGCGTGGAGAATCTGAAAGCGGCGCCAAGGCCGTCAAGAAGAAGCCGTGGTGGGAGTACGTCTACAATATGAAGCACTCCGCCAAGGCCAAGGCGCATGCACTTGATGGTGGAGGTGCCGCGACTGTGGACGTCGACGCATACGCGCCAGTACCAGGCACGAATGACCGTGAGCCGTCGGGCACGCCCGACCTCGGTCATCCCCGGGCATCCCGCCGTCCTTCTGCACCTGCTGGTAAGTTCTCTATTCTTTGTCCTGTTAGGGATTTTCGTACTCCCCCATACGCACGTGTATTGATGGGTTTTAAAAAATTGCTTGCACCATATGAGGATTAACCGCATCGATAAGAAACAAAGATAAACGCCACCTTATTACCATCACATCCTACACCCACCCCTACAGATGCTACAAACACCCCCCCACCCAAGCGTAGACGGTGGAGGAAACCGCAACCATGGCAGCAGCGAGGCTGGTGAGCGAGGCCATCAACAACACCAACTTGAGCGTGGTGCGCCAGCTTCAAGACTCCACACAGATCGTTGTCGCCGCCATGAACATGGCGGCGCTTCAAGCTGGCATGCGCCTGCTTGCGGCCACTCCGCAAGCACATGCCGCCGCTCCAGAGAGCACTCCTCCGCCTGCACCACGTCCGGACGGGGTCGACGCTGCCATGGCGGGGTCCGAGGAGGCGGCCGATCAGCCGGAGCCTTAGCGGGCGGACGTCGACACACGGCGACGCCTGAGGTAGGCCCTGTGGATGTGCTTGCCGAAGTGGTGACGACGCTTGCGCAGATCGGCCAGAGAGGGGTTGTCCAGCGGCGGCCACTGGTATCGGTCCATCCCGCTATGAGTCCACCAGCCATTCGGGATGCCTGCCCAAATGATGCGCCTGGGGTTGTACGTTTTCATCCGTGGTGTACTCACAACCTGCAACATGTTGTGCAGGATGATGATGCAGGCCCCTGCACACACGCGCCAGAGCTTGCTCTCGTGACGGCGGGAGAAGAGCCTCCATCGACCCTTGAGTGCGCCGATCGTCCGCTCGACCACCACCCGCGTCGCCGACTGCACGTAGTTGTACGTGTGCTCCCATTTCTTCATCAGGCGGCGGCGGGGTGCGTGGAGGGGGGTCAGCATGTAGGGCTTCAAGGGATAGGCGGCGTCCCCCACTAGCTGATAGGGTGCAATTTCACCGCTCTCTAGCCTGCCATGTAACTCTGAAGTTGAGAATACTCCTTGATCATGCATTGACCCCGGGTTGCCCACAGTGTAATCCCATATCACACCCTTGGAGTCACATGTCACCTGAAGTTGCACGATGTAAACTGACTTTCGGTTGTAGTAGTCCCCACGGTGAGCGTCCATGCCACGGATCTCAATATGGGTGCCGTCAATGGCGCCTATGACGTTGGGCACCCCTTTGATGGCGCGGAAGTCCAGCGCCATCTCCTCACGCACCTCTTCAGGGGGGAACTGGACCCAGTCCCGTTTGAACTTGCGGGGGAACCAAAACAAGAAAGCATCGACTAGGCGGTGGATAAGACCCCTTGGCAGGCCGAACATAAGGCTCATATCGTGGTATGTCATGGTACTGGCAAAGTACTTGATTGGGATCAAACAGCAAAGCGACAGCGGGACTTCATTGATCTCGACAAAACGTGACATGGGAAAGGCCATTTGGTCAGCGATGAGGTCAAGGACCTCCCGCGTGATGCGGAAGGTGTCTTCAAACTCCTCGTCGAACGTGGCGCGGATCTCCTCTACCCATTCCGCCACGCGTGACTCTCGACGGCGTTTGCGGCTTTCACGGCGAGCAGCTTCGCGGCGCGCGCGCTCCTCATCCTCGGCCTGAGCCATTGGAAGGAGGGTCGTAATCCACTCCAACGCAGCTAGGGAGACTACTCGCTGCCAGGTCTTAAGAGAGTACACGTGCCAAAGGTGCAGAGCGACACATAGTATGAGCGCCTGTTGGGTGAGCATGGTGTATGGCGAGATTGTGCGTGCTTTGTCTATATGTGCAAACAAGCACGGCAGGGAGAAGGATGCCATGGCGGCATCGTGGCTTTGACTGGGAGCGCGGCCTAGGCGATGCGCTCTGCTACGGAGCCGGCTGTGCTTGTATACAGGGCGCTTTGTTCGTTGTTCAGAGGGGTTGTATATGACCCATTTGCGGCTGTATTGAGTTTCTGTAGTCTGGTGTGATGGTGTTTGCAAGTTTGTGGTGTACTAGGGACTTTGACGGGCGTGAATCAAAAGGGGACGACCGTCAAAGGAGGGACATTGTACATGGGGTCGCGCACTGTGTTGATTGGGTTGGCCCCAATTTTTACAGACGGTCGTATGCGCATTCGGGGATGACCCGTGTCAAACTATATGTGTTGCATATTGTTTAGGCTGTAGTGGGGTAGCCCATATGGGGTACAACCCAATTAGGGTTTACTACTTGTACTCCTGCATCCTGTTAGTTCATTCATTCCTGCTGCTAGATTCTAACATGGTATCAGAGCACTAAGGTCCGTAGGACCGTTTTTTTCGGGCCCACCTACCGCTGCGGTTACCGCGCTACCCCACGTACCTGCCTGCCTTGCCTTGCCTTGTGACGTGCTGCACATGCGCTGCCTCCTGCTGCCCTAGGCCAGCGCGCTGCCCCTAGAGGCCCGTAAGGCCCGCGCGCCGCCTCTACACGCCCGTCAGGCCCGCACACAGCCCCTGCAGACCGTTAAGCACACTGCTGCCGCGCGCTGCCCGCACCGAGTCGCGCGCAGCCCGCTGCAGCCGCGCGCAGCCCGCACCGAGCCGCGCGCAGCCCGCTGCAGCCGCGCGCAGCCCGCACCGACCCGCGCGCAGCCCGCTGCAGCCGCGCGCAGCCCGCGCCGAGCCCACGCAGCCCGCGTCGAGCCGCGCGCGGCCTGCTACGGCCTCGCGAGGCCCGCGCGCGGCCCGCAGCAGCCCGCGCCGAGCCGCGCGCGGCCTGCTACTGCCTCGCACGGCCCGCGCGCGGCCCGCAACAGCCCGCGCCGAGCCGCGCGCGGCCCGCTACTGCCTAGCGCGGCCGCGCGCGGCCTGCATCAGCTTAGCGCGCTGTCAGCGCAGCCCGCGCCGAGCCGCGCGCGGCCCTCTGCCTCGGCCCCGACCTGCCGCTGATGCGGCCCCGCCCTGCAGCTGCCACGGCCCCGACCTGCCGCTGATGCGGCCCCGCCCTGCAGCTGCCACGGCCCCGACCTGCCGCTGATGCGGCCCCGCCCTGCAGCTGCCACGGCCCCGACCTGCCGCTGAAGCGGCCCCGCCCTGCAGCTGCTTCGGCCCTGCTCTGCAGCCGGTGTTGCGGCCCCGACGTCGCCGCTGTCGAGCGCCGGCCCTGCTCGCCCGGTGAGCGCCTGCTCTCCCAGCCTTTGGTGAGCGACTGCCTGCCTGCCTGGCTGCCTGGCTGCCTGCCGGCCTGCCTGCCTGCCTGCCTGCGCGCCTGCCTGCCTGCCTACCGGCCTGACTGCCTGCCTGCCGGCCTGCCTGTCTGTCTGCCTGTCTGCCTGCCTGCCTTCCTGCCTGCCTGCCTGCCTGCCTGCTTGCCTACCTGCCTGCCACGCCTGCCCTGCCCGCGCTGCTGCTGCTGCTACTGCTACTGGCAGGTGGCTAGATGCAGCTCCAGCGACGTTCACGCGAGCCTCTCACGCCCCAGCAGCTTAGTGAGTGGTATACTAGCTGGGGTTGTCGCGGTAGCCGTCGTAGCTGTCGCCCTGGGGCTGGTCAGTTGGGAGCGTCTAGCAGTGGCCAGCTGCAGCTGCAGGGGCGTCCACGCGAGCCACTTACGCCTCGGCAGCTCCAGGAGTGGTACGCTCAGTGTAGCAGGTCTACCCGTACAGTTCGCTGCCCGTACGTCATTCGCACAGGTGCTAGGACTGGTCAGCCTTGTGGGACGCTTGGTCACACACAGTCCCGCTGCTTCGCCCGTCTGAGCGACGCCTGGCGCACAGTGTTTGGCGACGAGGCTGAGCTCCCCACCTGGCTGGAGCTGCATGGACAGAGGGTAGATATCTTTGCGCTTGACTATGATGCTATTCTCACTGCCATGTATGCCTTGTCTACTAGTGCTGACCGTGCCTGTTACCTGTGCGTACCGCCTGACCCTGGTGAGGCTGCTGCCCTAGGTGCTAGTGCGTCTCCTGCTCTAGGTGCTGGTGAGGCTGCTGCTCTCGGTGCTAGTACGTCTACTGCTCTAGGTACTGGTGAGGCCGTGGCTTCAGGTGCTGGTGACTCTGCTCTCTCTGGTACTGCGCCCACTGCGGTCTCGCACACCTTCACCCTTGACTCAGGAGCTTCCCGCTCCTTCTTTCGCGACTGCACCGCACTCACGCCGCTCAGTCGGCCAGTCCCGGTCTCCCTGGCGGACCCCTCTGGGGGTCCAGTCATTGCCCACCACTCCACGGTTCTGCCGTGTCCGGCCGTCCCGTCTGGCTTCCTGTCAGGTCTTTACCTCCCCTCGTTCTCTACGAACTTGGTGAGTGGAGCTGACCTCCAGGATGGGGGGGTTCACCAGTTCACTCCTGCGAGTCAGCGAGTGACTCACTGTACGTGTGCTAGGACGGGCCGGCACTTGGCCACGTTCACCCGTGCACCTGGCTCGAGTCTGTACACACTGACCACTGCGTCCCCTCAGGTAGCTGCGTCTGCGTCTACGTCTGGTCAGCAGGCGGCCCCCTGCGAGTGTCGCGCTTTGTCGCACGACACTCTCCTGTGGCACCACCGCCTTGGTCACCCCTCCTTGCCTCGCCTGCGTAGCATGCACTCTCGCTCCCTGGTCTCTGGTCTCCCCAGGTCTCTGCCTGCCCTCCCTCCCTCGCCTGCGCCGCCCTGCATTCCTTGCGTCGAGGGGCGGCAGCGCGCCGCTCCTCACTCCTCCTCGTTTCCTCCCACAGAGGCTCCACTGCAGACGCTCCACCTGGACGTGTGGGGCCCAGCCCGCGTCCAGGGACAGGGCCACGAGCGGTACTTCCTGCTGGTTGTCGACGACTACACGCGTTACACCACGGTCTTCCCCTTGCGGAGCAAGGCGGATGTCCCTGCTGTTTTGATCCCCTGGATCCGCGCAGTTCGTCTCCAGCTCCGCGAGCGGTTCCGGTCGGACTTTCCTGTCCTACGTCTGCACTCTGACAGAGGTGGTGAGTTCTCCTCCAACCTCTTGGCAGCCTACTGTGCGGAGCACGGCATCGCCCAGTCGTTCACGCTTCCAGCCTCTCCGCAGCAGAATGGGGTTGCTGAGCGCCGCATTGGCTTAGTCATGGAGGTTGCTCGTACCTCCATGATCCATGCAGCTGCCCCCCATTTTCTGTGGCCGTTTGCGGTCCGGTACGCCGCGCATCAGCTCAACCTCTGGCCCCGTGTCTCCTTGCCAGAGACCTCGCCCACACTGATGTGGACGGGGAAGGTTGGCGATGCATCGCGTTTCCGGGTCTGGGGTGCTCGTGCCTTTGTCCGCGATACCACCGCGGACAAGCTCTCCGCCCGCGCTGTTCCCTGTGTCTTCCTTGGCTTTGTCCCTGACGCGCCTGGTTGGCAGTTTTACCACCCCACCTCGCGCCGTGTCTTTGCGTCTCAGGACGTCACGTTCGACGAGTCGGTTCCCTTTTACCGTCTCTTCCCCTACCGCACTGCCTCGCTCCCCCCCCCCGCCGCTCTTCCTCGCTCCAGGTGCTCCCCAGGTAGACCCCCTCCTCGCTCCCGGTCCTGCTCCTTCAGGTGTTTCTCAGGTAGACCCTCCTCCCTTGACTGCGCCGGTTGAGGTCACTGGTGACTCAGGTCCTACTGAGAGTGGTCCTGCTCGGGGTGCTACTTCTGGGGGTGCTGAGCCTAGGGGTGCGGAGCCTGGGGGTGCTGAGCCTGGGGGGATTGAGCCTGCGGGTGCGGAGCTTGAGGGTGTAGAGCCTGGTGGTGCTGAGCCTGAGTGTGAGGGGTCTGGGGGTGCTGAGCTTGGCGGTACTGACGCTGGAGGTTCTGGAGCTACTGAGGGTGCTGGCGCTGGAGGTTCGGGAGCTGCTGGAGGGCCTAGTACTGGTGACGCTGGAGCTGGAGGTTCTGGAGCCGCTGGAGGTACTGGTGCTGAGGGTACTGACACCGGAGGTTCTGGAGCCGTTGGGGGTGCGGGCGCTGAGGGTTCTGAGTCTGCTGTTGCGCGGTCTCCTTGGAGTGGCCGCCTTCGTCCACGTGTGCCTCTCACCCCACAGCAGCTGCAGGACTGGTACGGTCGCCGTCAGCGCCGCGCTGCTGGAGCTCGGAGTCGTGCTGGTCCTTTGTCTACTGGAGGTGCTGGAGTTGCTGGTTCTGGAGGGGCTCGTGCTGGAGACACTGAGGCTGGAGACCCTGGAGCTGGAGGTGCTGGTTCTGGGGGTGCTACTGCTGGCGACCCTGAGGTTGGAGACCCTGGGACTGGAGGTGCTGGTTCTGGGGGTGCTGCTGCTGGAGACACAGAGGTTGGAGACCCTGGGACTCGAGGTGTCGGCTCTGGGCCTGGAGGTACTGGAGCTGCTGGAGGTACTGGAGCTGCTGGAGGCACTGGAGCTGCTGGAGCTGCTGGTACTGGTGCAGCTGCGCCGACACGACTGTTCTTCGCTCCGCCGTCTCCGTCGTCTCTGCCGCCGTCTGCCACTGTTATTCGTCAGGTTCTTACTCTTCCGTCGTCTACTGGTCTTCCGTTACAGTCTGGCTCACCGCTGCCTGCTCCTTCTCCTTACACTGAGCTGACTGGTAGTCTTTCTGAGCGTCGTGAGCCTGCGTCGCGTCCTGTTTCGCCTGTTCGTCCTGGTCGTACCGGTCGTCGTGTTCCTCGTTCGCGTCAGCCGGCTGTCCCCGGCGCACACCTCGTA